GGTAAACTTAATTTACTATAAAATGTTAAATCAAGTGATACTAAAATTATTCAAATCAGATCACTAGTTTGTGAACCATCTCCATTTAATTAAGCCATTAATTAATGTACAAATTTGAGTACTTTTTGTACAAAATTGACTGTCAAGTGTGAAGTTTTGTTTACAAAACCTATTTTAATGAAGTGATTAATTAATAAAACTGTTTATAAATCTTTAATCAGCTTATGATAGTAAGCAATTCAACTACACGTTTGATTTTGATTAATTTGAATTTTTGTTTCATATAATTTATTATCATGGCTGAAACTTAGACTGAATAAAGGCGAACCATTTCTCCAGAATTATATAAATTATTTTTCTAGTTGATCCGAATTTAATTTAACTTCTTACTAATAAATATAATTTCAAAAGGTATTTATACGTCTATCATGTATAATAAGTAATATAAAAGTAAATCTATGCTTTTAAATTTCATTATTTCAACTTCAGCCCCAACATTTACTTCAGTTCCCATATATTAATAGCTTCATATTCTTCATTACATAGTATAAACTTGAAAAAATTAAGACTATGAAGTCAAATTTTCTATCAAATTAAGAATCAAATAATTTAAGTTCTAAACATACCTACTGCTAAATAGAAACATTAAATCATCGTTCAAGTTATGCTATGTTTAAAATACTTATATATATATATTAGAAACAAATAATTGTGATATACATGTAATTATGTTATGCAAAGAAAAAATATACAAGTACTGATTACATAACATTAGTGTTATAAAATAAAAGTCTTTCTAAATTTGGAAATAATTATTATTAATTTTTACTATACCTTATGGGTATATTTAAAAAATCTATTTTTAAATTCTAATAGTGTAAAAGACTCCTTTTTATTTTTTAAAAAAAAGCCTGAAGTTGGATACCGTATATGATATGCCCGATCTACATTATATGGGATTTTTACATACTTTCTGTGTATCTTTTTACAATTAAATCTTATTACTTACAACAAATTTTTTAATTGGACAGATATCTATTAAAAAATCAACCAATTTTTCAAAAAATGGCTATTATAATATGTAACATCCTGCATATCCTACAAATTAAAAACTTAATTAATTATAGAAAAAAATAGAAAATAAAAAAAATCATATTTTTGAAAACGTTCATTATTCTATGTTCTCGCAGCATTCGCTATGTAATACGTTTATATGATTTGGAATTTATCTTTGACGAGACAATATGTATTTTGAATCCATTCAATGCTTTACTATGATCAGCCTAAAAATAAATCAATTATTTAGTCGTCTAATTAATATACTGTATTATTTTTGCTACAATATTTTTAATATGAAATCTAATCTTATCATTAACACTAAGCAATTTGATTATTCACGTGATCAAATTGTTAAAATGATATTTGCAATAGTGAAGAATTTCATTTCGATGTTTATTAAACGGATTTTCAATACAAATTTTTCTAATAATTCGTGGCTTTTAAAGACTTTACAAAATGGAATTAGAAAATATATTGCCCTGGCTGATAATGAAAGAAGTTGATGGCAGCCCTATTTTAATGTGAGAACTCTAAGATTTTTTTAGTGTAGTTTTAGTTTTTTATAGTCAGGTTAGAATTTATGGATAATTTATAGCAAAAGAAAGGTCTATATTTTCAATAGAGATCCCAAGCTCCAGCCCATGTAATTGCAAAGTTATATGCGCATATCAAATATACTATTTTTTTTAAAAAAAATTTTTTATAAATTACTATTTCAAAAAATTTTAATTTTTATATTTTTTTTTATTTAATAAAAATTTCTAATAGCGAAATGCTAATAAAAATTTTTGTTTAATAAGCATGTTAATAGTGATAGAAGTAAATGAACATATATAAATAAAGAAAATTTAATTTAGGCTTGTATTGAATAAATAGTATCATTATAATTAAAAAAGCATTTATTTATTTGCTTGAAATTCGAATATCTTCGAAATAATCTAATCTTAAATAGACGGACATTATAATTAAAAAAGCATTTATTTATTTGCTTGAAGACTACTGGTATATATTGCCTCAGGATGTAAATTATTGTTATCACCGGGGAATACAAGGTTATTCCTTTAGCCTTTGCAATTTATACTGTGAACTCATATGATTTATCTTTTCTGAGATCAGTTTGCCATTCATAAAGAATGGCATGCAATTCTTCAGAGGTCGGTCTTTCATCTGGCTGAGCATCCCAGCAACGCATAATTGACTGAGTAACTAACTCTGGAATATCAGGTGGAATTTTTGGACGCAAACCCTCACAAATTTTTTTTGCAAGATCACGATCATGTGAAATGTCATGATATGGTGAAGACCTGACATTATCTGGCACATCATAATGCCAAAGGAATACACATCAGATTTCTTTGTGTATTTTTTTTCAACAAGAACTTTGGGAGCTACGTAAGGTAAGACGCCATAAATTTCTGACGATAATGAACTGTGGCTTACTGGTTTGCACAAACCAAGATCCGAAACATTAAAAAATTTTCCTTACAAACTTTTAGTATGTAGAAGATTCCCTGGATGAAGATCCCGATGCATAAGGTCGCTACCGTCATAGAGTCAAGTCCAGGGCTGATATCTAATAGAGCATTATTTTATCTTCCCATGTCATTTTAGCTAATGCGTTCGAAGACTTCCTAAAGATGCGAGTTCCATAACTATGATATAATCAAGCATTTGTGGATCTTGAGAAACTCCAAAACATCGAATAAAAAACCCATTGTTCTCCGCCAGAAGTTATGATTCAGCCTAGGTAATAAGAAACTTTATGAGACAAAGGTAATAGTTAATTTAAAAATAAATGCAACAAAACTTACTTTTAAAAATCCACTCATTGAGTTAGATGAATGTGATAAAATTTTTATGACTACTTTTTGATTAAACGATCCCATTGTTGATCCTTTATGTTTCATTCGAAAATTTGCCCATCCAACCAAGTAGCAGAATACATTGTTCCAAAACCACCCTTATCGATATATTTTATGTCTTGCAGTCTGTCGTATGGCATCCACTCAATTATCCTTTCTGGAGAATCTGCTTTAAGCTGGGTTGTTTGGAGGAACTTGTCAATATCAGAATCACCACTGCTCCATTTATCAAAATCATTTTGAATATGTTTTGAATTGAATAGTTTACACCATCCATAATCCCGAGTATTATACGTGGCGTTACACTCTTCACATCTTTATTATTAGAAACATAGAAAAAAATAAATGTCATTTATAAGCATAAATATAGATTAATTAACAAAACTTTATACTCACCGGCTAAGGAAAAATGGATAATTGGATTTAATAAAAGACCATATTCTTAGTAAATTTGCATTAATAGAATTTATACTCACACTCTGCAGCAGCATGATATGCAATAATAAAAAATTACGTGATAACAAATAATATATTTTAAAGTTGAGTATAGAAAGACACACTAGAGATTTAATGAATGAAGTGTTATATTTAATGCACAATACGATGGATTAATAAAATATTTTATGTCGCATGTTTACAAAATTTCTACTCACGCACTAGTAAATCAATATGATTTGATAATTAGAGATGGGATAGTTATCTCATATATAAAATAAACTTTACTCACTAGCTGGCAATTAAAAACGTATTATTATTGTTTTTTAGCTGGGTATTGCAAGTTAGACAATTTGAAACAAAATAACTGTATCCACCGTCTAAAGACAATTCAGTAGAATTGATTAGTAAAATTTTGTGGATCTACTATTTTACTCATTAATTCTCTATTTTCAACATGGTTTATTTTTTATAACTAACGTTATAAAAACAAAGTGAAAATCTGCAACAATCTGTATTTTTGCAGATTTTTTTAGAAATTGAAGTTTCGTACAGAATTGTATTTAATTTCTGCATTTAGTATTAGATTTGAAGTTTGCGCAGATTTTCATTTGACCTTACAGGACTATGTAGATTTTATGAATAAAAATCAAAATTTCTAGCCACCAGTAATCCAATTCAAGTAAATTTTTTTTATTTTGTATAACTTAGTGAGTTCTACAGAATAAAAAAAATTTATTTGAATTGGATTATTGGATGGCTAGAAATTTTAATTTTATTAATAAGATCTAAATAGTCTCGTAAGGTCACTTTCAAGGTAAAGATCCCATATTATTTAATTTTTTTTGCAAATCTGCACAGAACTGCACAAAAAAAATTTTCAAAATGAATTTAATCTTGGCTATAAATATATCCACCATGGTGGAAATAGCAAATTACATATGGAAATAGAGAACAGTATACTGACTTTCTAAATTTAATGCACGTAAGGTGTTATTACGTGAAAACATTTTAATTAAAAATAAATTTAATAAATCACACACCCACTGGCAATATAATACAAATAAAATTGGTAAAAAAGATTATTATTAAATGATTGCAAATAAATATATATATATACTCACTAGCTGATAATTCATTAGGTATGATTATTAAAAAGTATATAATGGTAGCACCCCAAAAATGTCTTATACTTGCCGGCTAGAAATATAATTCAAGAGTTACATCGTAGAATTAAAACAAACTTTATAAGCTTTATACTCACTTGCTAAAATTTAAAGCGCTTGTAATTAGCAAGTTTTTCTGCTAATTTTCAAATTGCAACATATTGTAAATTTATATACTTACTAGCTGTCGAGTTAAATTGATAGTAACGGTTGTGGAGCGGCGTTGCGGTGTGATATTACACAGAGTCGTATACTTACCGTCTATATTTAACATTTAACTAGAGGATGCAGATGTGGGCGGCTTCGCCGCCCGGTTGAGGCTGTTAAGTATTTAGGGATGGTGCAAGTTATTATAAGGATAAATTTTACATTGTAGAAATAATACTTACGTACGTGTTTAAGAAATTTATTTACTAAGAACAGATGCATTAGAGTGGTGGAATTAAATTTGAACGTAGAAATATTTGAGTCAAATATTAAAGCCTTTGTTTACTGCAGTTAAAGTCAGGCAGAAGTTTGTCTGTACGGCTAATAAATTCAATTTAATTTTA